GGTTTTCTCGGTTCTTCCTCCATTTTAACGTCCATGGGTCTTGTCTCCTTCTCCCTTAGCCCCTCCGCCTGATCTTTTTGCCTTTCTGTCGGCCTTGTCCGCGACATGCCCGACGCTCCCTCAGTCCCTGCCTTGTGGACGGTAGACCTTTTCTTTTCTGACCTGTCTAATCCCTTACCGTTGTGCTTCCATTGCTTTTTGGTTTTCCCTCCGCCCTCGACCTTTCCCTTGGACATTTGTTTATTCTTGTTTTTTACCTTTGGGGCCTGGCCTCGTAGTACATCTCTGTAGGACCGACGGTGGGTATCCCGACCTCCTTTTCCTTCTGAGCAGACCCCTGCTGCTTCTCCATCCCCGTGGAAATTCCTTTGTTCCCTTCCTTCTATTTCTCCTCCTCATCATTGTCCTTCATCATCTCTTCGTCAGGTCTAGAGGATTTCTCATCTGCCTTCCCTTGCTCCTTCGCCTTCTCCCTCTTTTGTGTCGGGACTACCCCGTTTTCCTTTTCCCCTTCGTTCCCTTTGTCCTGGCGAACATCCTCCTCAATATTATCGTTATTTCCCTTGCCCTTTTCCACCGCTTCCTTCGGGTCCTTAGGTTGGTCCTTCTGGCCACGTTCAGGATTCGTGTTTTTTTTTGCTGGGCATGAGTCGACATTTTGTGTGAAAATGTTGACGGCGTACCGAGCACCACAATGTCTGAGCGTGGACCACCTCAATTTCAACGTATCCTCCCTTCTTCATATCGATTATTAAATATGGCTTATAACGAGTCTGGGCCCTAGGTTCCAAGTCGAACCGGATGTTCATTAGCTTGGGCGACGTTATTTCGGTGTATGTCTCATACTTTTTCAGAATCTCGCCAAAGGCTTCTCTGACTATCGCGGCCGTATAAGGCAGAGCTGCCACAGGAACATACATGCAACGTATTAAAAAAAACTTAAACCTATGGGCTTCCCTCCATTCAAATAACTCTTTCTCCGACATCCATGGACGAAAGGACACATTGTAGGTTTTTCCATCCAGTATAATCTTGTCTTCCTTTTTCCTTAACATCCATTGTGCGATGACTTTGGAGGAGGCCACGTAGGTTAACAAATTATACCTTTCGTTGTGAAAGACGCCCCTCTTAGGAGGGACATCAATTGCACCGCTCTTAGCCCATCCATTTTCGTACATGCGAATTAGGCGGATTTTCACTTTCACCGGCAGGGATTTGGCGTCGTTGTCGAAAGACACTTACACCACGTTTTCGGACAACCACTCCTCTTGGACCGTGTAGACCTCAGGGCATACTACAACCCGAACAAAATCCTCCCCGACTTCCACTTGGTCCGGGATGAGCTTCTCCGGCAGCAACCCCTCATTGTAACATTCCGCCAATATACCCTTAATCCTGTCTTTTTCCACTTGCGCCATCGGCAGACCAGGATCTGGGATTGCTCTATCAGCCATTCTGAGGGTGAGCGGGTCAGACCATTAACTACTGAAAAAAGGCTGAAATTAAACCAGTCAGCAATATGACACTTCGAAACACTCGTGGACTAATCTAAATTAGCTACTAAAAGCCTCAATAAATAGGGACAAGTCTGATAAGATCCACCCCACTTGGGTTGAAAGGAAAGAGATTACCCCAAAGGACTTATCAACTCCATAGCTCTCTTATTTTCCTCTCTGAAGGCATCGTACTCCAAGCTGAGTGACCAGGCGGGGAGAGGTGAGGTCCCTCCTGGGCCATGCCGGATTTCTTCATCCTCTCTCCCTACTTCCCGCTTAAGAATCAGATGTCCTGTTCTCCCTCTGCGGCCTACTACGGTTTGGTGATTCATTTCTCGATTTATGTCTGTCATCCTTCCACAGGGGCCATGCTAATTACCCTTCTCTGTGTCGTTCTATTTTTTTTTCTTTTTTCTTTTTTTCTTTAAAAAAAAGGGGACGACCTTGAGATATCACGGTTGAACTGACCCTACCCTGTTCTGCCAAGGTGCTCTCTCAGAGTCTCTCTCTCTCTCTCTCTCTCTCTCTCTCTCTCTCTCTCTCTCTCTCTCTCTCTCTCTCTCTCTCTCTCTCTCTCTCTCTCTCTCTCCACGTAAAGATTCCATTTTCCAGGCTGCTGCCGCACTGCATCCATCTTCTCTCTTCCGTTTTCTGTGCTCTGCTGTTCTCTGCTCCATATTCGCTGCCCGCTTGTCCGCTCTCCGATCGCACAGTCCACACTCGACTGTTGGCTTGAGCTCGACCTGTGGCCCTTCTTGTTAAAAAAACTGAGTAACGTTGGCTCGCCACGAGAGTATTCCTCAGCCACCTATCCTGAAGTCTTGAATTGTCACTCTTCATCTTGTAGCTGAAGCGGACACTAGATTTGAAACAACCTCTACCGCCGCCCGGCGCCCGATCATTCCTTTCGAGGAAACTGGAGGCTGCCCGTTCCGCTTTCTGGCTAGGCCCGCCCGCCAGGACCCGCGCAAGCTTTGGAGTTATGGTGGCCCCATAGGCACCCATAGCCAGGAGGCTTGAGCATCCGTGAACCCCGGACGTGCACGTGTCGGAGTGGAAGATCCACGTGGAGCTCGTGCGATGCAGTGACGCCAGCGCTTACATAAGAAGAACGGACATCGGTACAGACCCGACGGGGCGGAACTCTCTGGGAGTGGAAGAAAACGTGGTAGTAAACAGGTGGAGAGAGGAACAGGAGCAGACACGCAAGTGGAAACCATTATCCAAATAACCAAGAAGAGGTGGGATCGGGGTGGTGCGATCCTCACGTAACAATGTCAACGTGGTGAATGGAACTAGGGCGACATAGTTGAATATAGGGTTCTCTGTGAGCAGGGGAATGGAATAGAGGAGGAGATCCGCGAGGAGCTTGTGCGATGGAGTGACGCCAGCGCCTACATGAGAAGGGCGGACATCAGTACAGACTCAACGGAGCGGAACTTACTTGGGGTGGCGACTACGATTGTTGTGGGGAGATAACGTGCCAGCAATCGAGAAAAGGTGCGATTGGAGAGGTGGAGACCTCACGGAACGATTGCAACTTGGCGAATGTCAACTTGGTGAATGGAAGTAGGGTGACATAGTCGAACAAAAGGGTTTTTGTGAGCAGAAGAATGAGACTGGGGAGGTGCTAACATGTTGAGGCAAATGCAAGGTGAGACAACCTATCGAGGACACAAGAGTTGCCACTACTCATCGTATAATCCGTCGTGGCTGAGGTAGGACGGCCAATCAAGGATTCATGCGAGACAAGGAATGGCGCCAATATCCAGGAGAATTGCGACACAATAAATATCACTGACTGGACATGCAAGTGAGACTCGGTGAAAAAAGGCAACAACAGAAGGGGATCTCCAGACAAAAACAGCTTCAGGTTACATGTTCTTGCTCCCGCCCGTGCACTCCCATACCTTCTGCTGTAACATAATTTCCTTTCCCCCTTTCCCCTCCGTGCCCTGTAACCTGTTCCCTCCCATGCCCCGAAGCTTTCGCTCCCAAAGTTGGCCCTAGGAAGGATCTCCGATCGGTGTATGCACATGACCGTGGACACGCCTTGTGAAACCCACCCCGCTCGACCACAATCCACGGCGACGACGAAGGACCACACCCACCACCTGCCATTACGGCCCACTACACATCACAAATTTCTCACAAATTCGAATGGTATGAACGTGGCGAACGTGGCGAACCCTATTCACTATTCACTCTTTTAACTAACAGGTAAAGGATTGCACAATGATGGAGACAATCGGAAATGCCGCCCAGCATAGGACACCTGTCATCAGTCAAAAACCGACGGAAGAAGTACCCTCGACACAGCCCCACAACCTGGTTGACCAACAGAAATCGAATACCTCAAATGATGCCGGCTTGTCCCGACCTCGGACTGACAAAACAACACAAGGACAATTGTCCACTGCAGGACACACGGCCAGCCCACCAGGGCAACAGGGACAGACATCCAAAGTGTGGAGAGACAAAGTGGCGCCCCCAGGAGGGGGCTCGGTTCATAATGCAACCTCCCCGTCCTCGTCAAAAGGCGCCTGGAAGACACCCCCACAGTTGACCACTGCTCTCTCAGCGCCTGGACGGACTGACCCGCATAGAGCACCAACTCTTGCCTCCATGGCTCCACTCAAGAGCCACCTTATACAACAGCTCTACGTCGAGCCGGAAAGAAAATTCCAAGTGAAAGATGGTTACACTTATCCGCACTCCATCTTCTCACCCCAAGCCAGAGCTACACGAGATGCTATCTACACTCAAAAGGCAGTAGAGTATCGTTTCCAGCCTGACCAATCCGCAATTCCCGTAAACGAGAAGATCAAATGGATTACCAAAAAGCTTGGAAGGATAAAACCGGATCGACAATTAGTGTATGACCACTTTCTCGTAGAAGTGGACAGCCAGGACTGTGTTACGATTGTTGCCCTCTATCAGACAGACAAACAACTGCTTCTGAGAAACAGACAGCTACAGTTCAGAGGACGGCAGGTCCAGCTCACAGCCTGGTCTCCGGCTGACCCACAATCAGCTGCCGAGAAAAGGGAACACCTCATGAAATCGAACTTTTGGGTTGAACTCCGATTTGTACCCTTATGTGTACAAGGAGCAATTCTCACTCATTTGGAAGACATCCCCCATGTCAAAGGCTACATCACTGACCAGCCCCAATTCTTGGGGAAAAGAGATGATTCGCTGTTGGTTGCAGTGGATTGGGATCCAGAATACCCTTTCCCCCTTAACGAAGAATGAAGATACTCGCTAGGGGGGAAAGAGTATTCGGTCCCGATCAGTCACTCCCAAGACCCATGGTGCTATGTATGCAAGCTAAGAGGGCACCTGTGCACAGACGCTTTCTGCCCAAAAAATGGTCGCAAACTGAAGATAAAAGGCATGGTCACTCCCCACAACACAGATGAAGAATGGTGGTACCCGGAGGAACCGGAGCTACAAGGTTGGATGTTCAGAGCCTATGCCGATGGTAGTCCTGGGAAATGGATATGGCAAGGGACGGGCCGCCCACCGGCATTACCATCAGGAGCCGAACAGATAATCACAGACGACCAAAAACAAAAAGGCGTACGGGGCAGTTCTAATGACCCTCCCCACAACACACGTGCCGCTCCAGATCACCACAACGCCCACAACAGCGTAATACGGGCACAAGAGTAATGCAACCCCTGAATAAACACAGCAGTGGGAACAACCAGAGACAGCAAGGTGTCACCCAAAACGTGATGCTGCCACCTGCCAAGTCGGGTAGTTCCGGCCCTGCCCCCCCCCGGCAGATTTATATGCTTAAACCGAAAACGCAGGCTGGAGTGGAACACCTGCAGGCCGGAAAATCAAAGTGCCGGGGGCAGCAGCAGGCACACAAAGCTCAAAAAACTGACTCACTGATGAAGGCTGCCATACCTGAGCAGCAGAATATACAGGGTGGGCAGAAGGACCCAGCCAGGAATGCCATGGGCCCAACAGCCAGTGAGGGATCAGCAGACGCTGCCACTGAACATGGCCTCACACGGGGTGAGCAGGAGGGCCCAACCGGGGATGCCACGGGCCCAACAGTCCGTGTGGGACCAGTTGGTGCAACCACTGAACATGGGCAACAGACCACACAGGGTGGGCAGCCCAGATCAACCCTGCATAAGCAGGGCCAAGTTGCCGGAGCCAAAACAACCAAAAAGCAGCACAACATACAGGGTGAGCTGAACCGCCCGATCCCGAGTGTCACGGGCCCGACAGTCAATGAGGGATCAGCTGATGCAGCCACTGAACATGGGCTCACAAGGGGCGAGCAGATGGGCCCAACAGGAAAAGCCATGGGCCCAACGGACCATGCGGGACCAGTTGATGCAATCACTGAACATGGCCAACAGAACACACAGGGTGGGCAGCCGAGACCAATCCCGCATAAGCAGGGCCAGCTTGCCAGAAACGAAATTACCAAAACAGCCGAAACAACTGCAAAGCAACCTTGTGGTAACTCGCAGACAGTGGTGCAAAACCAACAACAACCGCTGGAAACGAAGGAAAGCTCGGAAAGCCTCACAAGGCCACAAACACAAGACTCAACCGACGCAGGGCCGGACAAGAAACAGACAATCGGAGAGAATGCTAAAAGGACCCCTCAGCCAAAACAGAAGGGCCCGATTGCAAGTGCCAATACATCAGCCGGTTGCTCATAGGCTCAGGGTATGGGATGTGGGGGACGAGGGCACAAAGCTGATGACACACATACGCAACTGAGGCAGAACAAAACTAAGGAATTGGAACAGCAGCCCCGCCCCCTCACTCCACCCCTTAACTCCTTGCCCCCCCCCCCATCATTTGCAGGAGGGCAAACTTCTGATAGATGTAGGAAAAGTCGTAAAGGGTGACACAGGAAAACAGAAAATCCAGAAACCCCTACGGCAGGAGCCCTGCATAAGCAACCATCAAGCGGTAAGGAGTAAGCTGAACCCCCGGGGGATGTGGCTCAAAGCCAACTCCCTATTGGCTAAGATTAAAGACGCAGCCTTTTCCCAACATCTGGAACTGACGCAAGCGAGGCAACTTCACGGAGAACACGGAGACCATCCAACGCATCGTGAGGACCGGGAGCAGACATTGACACCTTTACACCTAACTCATGAGGGCCCAATGAAACTGCTGCCGCAACCTTGCAATCAACAATCACCCTCCCCGGATAAGTTGCCCACTACAACGGACCACACGACAACTGTCATATCGGAAGTCACGGGGGAAATAAAGTTCATGCTCCCCCAACAGCCCCATGACCCGGTGGGGGTAAGACTGAGGAAAACCGAACATGGGGAGGATGCGGGAACCATTGTTTCGGCCACAGTACAGTCAGGACAGACCGGCATAGCCCGGGAAGAACGAAGGGGAGCTATTGTCTCGGACACAGTGCACATACAGGAGCTAATGCCGCAATCACAGCAACAACAGTCCGCCTGCCACCAACAGCTCCTCTCGCCCCCCCAGGTTCAGCAAAAACAACACGTGCACAACCAACAATAGCAGGATCAGCTGAATCTGCAATGGTTGCAGCGAACCCAGGACCAACAACTGCAAATGCAACAGCCACATGCACAACAACACCCACAGGATGACCAACTACTAATGCACCAACGTGAAACACAACCGCAGATGCAACAGCACCCCCGGATGATGGATAAAGAGTGGCAAGAGCAAGGCCAAATGACACAACTTCCACCGATACAATACGTGGGGGAACAGATACAACAAGCACAACATGCTCATGTGGCACAGTGGCACACGCAGCAACGGTGGTCCCAAGAAATGCCGACACTGCAGCATTGCCAACACCAGTCAGACACGCAAATGCTGACATCGCCAAAACAACAACAACACCACATGCACTGTCAGCATCAGGAACAACAAGAACAACATCTTCAGCAACAGTACCTGCCAGGTGATCACCAACAGCAGCAAAGCCTGACGCAACTCCAGCAATATGAGATCCTGCAACGACAAGAGCATGAAACACAAATGCAAGTGCAAACATTGCAGCAACATCAACACTTGCATCTGGGCACATTGCCTCAACAATACTAACAGCAGGCTCAGCAGCAACCACTACCACAACAGAAACAATAAGTGGAGCTACGCAGCATGCTAAACTGTGCAGATGCGCCGCACCAACTGCAACCACAAATGCAGCAACATACGACCTGCGAGGATCAATTCTGAATCCTCCTGCAAGCACAGTTGGCACAGTACCAGCATCAACAACATCAGCACAGGGAGATGCAACAACAACAAATCTTGCAACACCTCCACTTGCAGTGGCAACAACAACTCTGCTGCCAACAACAACTCATCCTGCAGCAGCAACAACAACAACTGCAAATGTTCTGGCAGCAAGAGCATCTGAGACAGCAACAACAACACGCCCTCACACTGCATGACCACCACCAGGTAGTGGCCGAGTTACAGATAACAGAAGAGAATACTCGATTGATCCAAGATATGGATACTACGGCCCCATATGAGCCTCCGCAGATGAAGCAGGATAGTGTCCTCGATATAGAGACGACGGACATTGACATGCCCCAGGCCCTGGTCCAGCCTTTGCAAGATAGTCCACCCCCCCCCCCCCCCCCCCCCCCCTCCCCCTCCTCCGCTTGCGGCACAAGAAGAGGTTAAACACAAACTCGCATTTTTGACCGAATGGACCCTCACAAAAAAAAAAATTATGGTAGAGGACAGAACACACGACACGCTCAACACTAAGTACTGGGGGCAGGCTAAAGAGGTTCTGATGTTCAGCCCATGAGTGTTAGCCACTGTCGAAAAGTACACAGACATACCTTCGATTGACTGGATGGATGTGGGGGCGGCGATTGTCTTAGTCGTCAACAAATTCTTGGACAAAATCGAGCAGTATGCGAACAAACAATGTGACTTGAATCTCTCTAAACAAAGCCCAGGCCACTCAGCCCCAAACCAGGAGGCTTTCCTCTACGAGGGGCTGGCATGGCCTAAGCTTTTGGTCCAGGAGCTCTGCACCACTCTACATGGCCCATCGGTAGTAGCTACGTCCGTCCAATCATTGGAAAATCAGAGCCAGCTACTCACATGGGAGGGGGAGTCACAGCAACGGGAAGAACCAATAGAACACATAATACCTGCAGACAATGACATGGTGCCTGTGTATCAGACTCGACATCCCCGCATAGCTGAGATATTGCATGATGATGATGACGACAATGTGACCATAGTGTGCCGGGATGTAGAAACACCAGAAGACCTCCCCCCCGGGAAACTGAAAGACTTGCTAAGACCTCAGGAACTTGCTGCCTCCCCATTGTCGGAGCCACCTGGTGTCATTATCCTCCCATTGGCCAGGCAGCGCAAAAGAGGTCAGTGGATGTTGGGACTCAGATCTCTCCCTGATAGACCTTCCAACCAACCCCCGGATCAAGAGGGTCTCACTTTGGAAGGGTGGAGGGGCAAACCCTCCACAACTGTGATCCTCAAGAGGCTCAAATACTGGCGTCGTGAGACGCAAACAAAGGGACTTTTGGGGGCTGTGCTGCCACATTCGCTGTCATTCCCGGTGGGGGTTATCCCAGTCATATTATTGATGAACTCAAATGCAAGCTACACTTGGCTTACACAACAAGAGCTTATGGAGCTTCCCACTGACTGGTTCAGGACCAACTTTGCATGGACACTGCGCAGGGTGCTGCTCTTTATACAAATCCTTTTGGAGGACAACATCTTAGAAGAGCACAACCACTGGGATGACCCGCCGTTTGTCCTTGCAATTAAGAACTTGAACTTAGCTCTTGGTAGCCCACCACGGAATGATTGGGATAACCTACTGCGTCTGCACGACGACCAATACACACAAACTAAATCGTAATGTACCACCAACACACAGGAAACCCACAGACTGCCCACCTCCTCCATTCTCCTCAAAGGACACACGAACACAGAGACATCAGCCTGAGTGAACCCCGGGCTGCGAATGTTGACCAACCACCCCCTATGACCCACCCGCAGACACCCCTGCCACCCTGCCCCCCCCAACCTCCCCGATGCCCTCCCCTTCCCCATGTCTTCCCCCCAATCAGGAGGCAACCTCAATGGGCAGCAAAACTAATTCGTGCGGACATAGATATTCGCTCACTGAACGTTAATGGCCTCATCCAGGCCACACAGGCAAAAAAGGACGCAATCTGGGATATGCTCATAGGCCCTAACAAGAGGGCGTGGCCGGATGCAATCTGTATTCAAGAAACGCACTTGCAGGACACGCTGGCGCACACAGCAAAGGCCAAAGCCATCTGGCCATATACGTCCTTCGCTGCTCATGCAATAGACAGAGCATCGGCGGGCGTTGCCATTTGGCTGCCCCCATCCTCGAAACTCAAGCCACTGATTGTCGAAACTGACAAAATGCACGGAAGATGGGTGTCCTTGAAACTGCAGTTCGAGGAGGAGGAGTTCTACCTGGTTAATGTGTACGCGCTCAATGACCCCACACTCAGAGTTGACTTTTGGCTCTCCCTCCACCAGCAACTGCAGGACGACGCCCCAGTTATTCTAGCGGGTGACTTTAACACCGCACTTGACCCAGCACTGGACCGTAGGTCTACGTCTCGACGTCAAGAGCTGACCTCCCCTGGTCCGGACGCCCTCATCCTTAAACAGATTATGGCAGACCACCAACTGGAAGACGCATACCGACTGCTGCACCCGGCCCAAAAAGCCTATACTTGTCTGTCATGCAGGGGTGACCAGGGCTTGGCCAACTCCAGAATAGACCTTACATTGGTGTCCAACGATTTCATGGGTCTAGTCACCACCGCAGAAATAACTCCTATCAGCCCGTGCAAGTCCTTTGATCACAGGATGATAACACTGGGACTCTCATTCCACAACCATATTCAAAGAGGGCCTAGTTTCTACAAACTCAATACCTCTCTCCTCCCCCTACCTAAATTCAAAGAACTAGTTAAGGAATTTTGGCAATTTTGGCAAACCCAGAAACCCAAAGAGGAAGAGAACGTAGACTGGTTCAACAAAGGGCTGACACAACTTAGGGAGAGAGGCAAGAAATTCTCTATCCAACATTCCACGGACCGAAAAGCTTGCCTGGAGAGTCTGATGCGAGAACTTGAAGAATGGGATGAAGAACTGATGAAAGATCCCACGCACTGCCCCTCCTATCACAGATTACAAGAAGCCCGCGATCATCTCTAGCAGTACCTAGATCGACAGGCCCAGGCATGGAGAGTGCAGACCAAGATTAAGAAAGACCACACTGATGGCACAATGGCAAAAAAAAATTTCAACAAGGTCAAAGCAAGATCGAGGGCAACTACGGTTCCCAGACTCAATCACCCGCTTGACAGCAATGCACCGCCGGCAACCAATGCATATACAATAGTGGAGTATGCTACCAAGTACTACCAACACCTTTTCACGTCTGAAACGCCCCACAAGCACCCAGACGAGGTCCACCAAGCAAGAGACGCGTTGCTGCAGTCCATCCGGTCTCGCTTGACACAAGACCAAAACAACACTCTGGATAGGCCCATAACCTCTGAGGAGGTATGGGAGGCCCTGCAAGATATGGAAGATGAGAAGACACCTGGGATCGACTCTTTCCCGAAAGATTTTTGGGTGCAGTTTTGGGACCTTTTTCGCCAGGACATCATGGACTTCATAACGGCGATACCAAAAGAGGGCTCCTTTGGGGGGATGATTGGCCAGGGTGTCACGACTCTCCTTTACAAAAAAGGAGACAGAGAGAATATAAGGAATTACAGACCTATCACCCTTCTCCCTGTCCCCTATAAACTAGTAGCCAAAGTCCTCACCAATAGAGTGTTACCCTTCATGAACTTGCTCATCCACCCCGACCAAACGGGGTTCATGCCTAACCACAACATCCAAGACAACATTCTCCTGGTCAACGAGACGATCAAATATACCCGTCAGAGGAAAGTCAAAGTGGCGATCCTCTTCATAGATTTTGAAAAGGCATATGATCATGTGGACTGGGAATTCCTCGATATGTGCCTGGATAGGATGAACTTTGGTCCGGCCTTCCGCCAATGGGTGCACCTTCTACACAAATCAGCCACAACTAACATAATGCTTAATGGTCACCTTTCATCGCCGATTTGCCTTCAGAGATCGGTGCGTCAGGGAGACCCCATTGCGCCATTGTTGTTTGTAATTGTTATGGAGGCCTTGGCATTGTTGATCCAATCTCATCCACAAATCAACAAAATACCTATCCCAGACATACCCCAACAACTCATACCAGTGACATCGCTCTTTGCAGATGATCTCACCGTACTCATTCGTGCTGATCCGGCCAGCCTCCAAGCCCTCGCTCAAGTCATACACCTTTTCTCACTGGCGGCAGACATGAAGGTTAATTGGGGTTCCAAAACAGAGGGTTGGTGGCTCCACCCACAAGGAGACTCCCCCCCACCCGAACCTTGTGTTGCATGGGCCCGCAAAGAAGAAGCTATAAGGATTTTGGGTGTAAGACTTACAGCGGAAGGCCCCCCGCCCGATCATGGAGACATGCTGGTCAATGTGGCAGTGGACAGACTGGCTAAATGGGAAGGTTTGCATACATCACTTGTTGGTCGCGCCTTGGCAATAAATAGCGTCATCCTTGCAGCCATCTGGTACAAACTGGCAGTGTGGCCACTTAATAAACAACAATACACCAGATTGAAGAAGGCGCTCACAACTTACCTGGGGAAAAATAGTGTCAAAAATCAGCAAAGCCTCAACAGGGTGAAATGGGATGTGGTCACACAGCCTAGAGATATGGCGGGGTTGGGGATCCTGGACCCTCAGAGAGAAAGCGAGGCAGTCATCTTCAAGGTCCTTATCAGGCTGTTAATGGGGAATGATATCCCTTGGGAACCGCTGACCTGCCTGCAAATTGCCAATCTTGCCCCACAATCACGGGTGCCGGGAATGGTACACCCATTCCAGTGGCTGACAAACAACCATTGGACCATACCATCGTCCCCCAAACAGGCCCATCCAGCGAACCTAGAACATGCAACAAAGCTCGACATTTCGGTCGAACCCCTTTGGCCCTACATGCTCAAACTCTGGAGGCAAAGAGGACCACAACAGAAACAACCCCCCAACAGATGGCATGATATATGGAGGCAACCTCTCTTCGGTAACCCGCACATCCTTCAAGAATCAGGAGACCCATTCCTTCTGACAACGAACTCTCCGTGGCTTAATTGGGCCAAGAAAGGACTGTTTACTGTAGGGGATTTGTGGGATCCGGTCACGGGGAACTGGTCAACCCCCGACCAGTTGAGAAACAAACTCAAGCACGTCAAACATATAGAAGAAAAAGTGGGTTTGCTAAGAGAGGCCCTCCTGCTCGCCTGACGCTTAACCTTGCGAAGGGGTCCCACAGTCGAAAAAGATGACTGGGTAGTCAGATACTCTGATCTGCCCTCCCCCAGTGTCATATTTGAAGTTCTAAACAATATAGATGGTGAATGCGAGTTGGAAGCCTACGAACCAAATTTGCCTGGGGCTAGGTTTTCCAAACTAACAAAAAATGCAGACCGGGACTCCACACACGGATGGGCAGCTCTGATGCATGAAAGGGTGGTTGGAAATGTGCAAAATGACCACTTCATATTTCAGCCATCCACGCCTGTGGCCAAGCTCCCCTTTGATCCGGCCGAGTGGGAGTGGACTGGCGCTCGGCCTATGCAAATATGGGAGTATACAGTCAAAGGCGGATATAGAGCATCACGACAAGACCAGCAAATCAATGACACAATTGCAGATAGATGGGCACGGGACTCGCCACTCGATCTAAAACTGCAACAATCTTTCACCTGGTCGACAGTTGCGAAGATCATGCCAACAGACCATGGATCTTTACAGTGGCAGATCCTACACTGCTGTCTCCCCACCCCTGACTGGTTGGTCTCCAGAACAAACCTGGAACAGAAAGGGGAGTTGTCTCCCATCTGTGCATATTGCACAAGGTCCCAGACGCTGGCACGAGCGACCCTCGAGCACTGCCTGTTGGCATACCCGATGGTCACCCAATTGTGGCAGTGGTGGGACGCGGCATTCCACTCCCTGACAACATGTCATATCCCCTGGGACATTCGCCTTCTGCTCCTGGGAGGCAAATGCCAGCTGCAGGCTCACTGGTCTCCATTCGCAACCAACCTGTTTTCCTATACACGGCTGCACATCCTCATGCAGGCATTGAGAGCCAGATGCTCCTTTGAAAGAAAAGAGCATCAATTTGGCCTGCAGCAAGCACAACAAGCTATAGAGGAGCAGATCAGAACAAGGACTCGAGAAGCATGGCAGCAGATGAAAACTGACCTTCTCGAGGAAAAAGACCCCACAGTTAAGCAAACAATTTGCGACTCCTATACACCTGTCTCTTATACACATCTAGATGTGTATAAGAGACAGATCCAAGACAACATTCTCCTGGTCAACGAGACGATCAAATATACCCGTCAGAGGAAAGTCAAAGTGGCGATCCTCTTCATAGATTTTGAAAAGGC